CGTGCGTGCGTGCATGCATGCGTGCGTGCGTGCGTGCGTGCGTGCGTGCGTGTGTGTGTGTGTGTGTGTGTGTGTGTGTGTGTGTGTGTGTGTGTGCTGATACAGATAGCTGCCTTGGCTAGCCTGGGATTCTCTAATGTAGACCAGGCTGGCCTGCCTGTCTTTGCCTCCCTAGTGCTTGAATTAATAGCAGGTGCTGTCACGTCCAGTTTGAGCACCAAGTCCTGAGAGCAGGCAGACTGGGAAGGAGTGCCTGGGAGGACGAGGGACTGCAGCCCCCCAGATTTGTTAGGGTACAGTCGCATTCCAGGTGCTAAGGGATGTGTGGGAGCTGTTGGGGAGGGGAAGCTGGTGGAGATGACAGGGCTCCCAGTGTGGTTGGATACAGACCTTTAGGGCTCCTCATTCCTGACCTCTCTGCGGGGCTTGGGCCCAGGTTTAGCTGCGGAAGGGTCCTCTAATATGGGCAGTTGGCTATTGACAGGGACATTTATTGTTTCCCCAAGGCAAAGGAGACCCTGACCCAGGAAGAAAAAGGAGGCTATTTTGCTAACTGCCTGCCTTTCTTCACCCCCCCCAAAAAAACACATGGTTTCTCTGTGTAGCTCTTAGTCCTGGCTGTCCTGGACCTCACTCTATAGACCAAGCTGGCCTCTGCCTCCCGAGTGCTGGGATTAAAGGCGTGCGCCACCACCGCCCAGCTGCTGCCTGTTCCTGAGAGGAGGCATGCTTGCTCTGACTGGGTTTACCACCTTGTTCCTGCTGATAGCATCTTGGAAATCTACCGCTTCTGTTTCCTTCTGTCTCTGTCCCTTTAGTCCAGGCTGGCAGGGTTGCTATGGCACAGCATTTTTATAAATCTGTGTCTTCCTGTGTGTCACAGAGAGCCAGACCACTAACCACGAGCGCCTGCCACGGGGCTTTTCTGGATAATCTCTCTGCTCCTGACTCTGCAGAGGCAGTTGAATGGACCCATGAGTCACACACAGGCCGAAGGCTATCTAGTCACACATGTGGCTGCTCTTTCCAGAGCACCCTGTCCAGACAGTGACCATGCAGTGTCTGCTTCCTTTTGCAAACTGAGAAGCCTGTGGATTTCCCGAATCACCAGTGCTGGCTCCTTTTTGCTTGACAGTTCCTTCCTCAATCTCTTTTTCTTCCTGACTTTTAAGATGAGCCACAAGAAGAAGCTGGGCTATAGCTGCTTGGAAATTGTTTCAGCTAAAAATCCATGTCTGTTACTTAGAACTTCTTCACCCAACAGTAGAACACAACCTGGTCAACTTTGGCTGACAAGGATAACCTCACTTCTGTATCTGAGAATGTTTTTCTCATTTTATTATTATTATTATCATTATCATTATTATTTATTTCTTCTTCTTCCTCCTCCTTCTCCCTCCCCCCTTTCTTTTGAGACAGATTTTCTGTATAGCCCTGGCTGTCCTGGAACTAGCTCTATAGAACAGGCTGGCCTCAAACACAAAGATCTACCGGCCTCTTTCTCCTTCTTCTTGACAGGATCTTACTATGTGTCCCTGGCAGGCCTGGAACTCACTATTTGGATCAGCATGGCCTTGAACTCATGATCTATCTGCCTCTGCCTTTAGAGTGCTGGGATTAAAGACCCCTCCCTCCCTCTCTTCCTCCCTTTTCTGTCTTAGTTACTGTTCTATTGTGGTGCGAATAGGAACTTAGGGCTGCTTGGTAGCAGACAGACATGCCAGTGGATCACTAGCTACGAGCTTACACCCTGATCTGCAGGAAGAGAAAAAGAGATTGGGCCTGTTCCGGCCTTGAGAAATCTCAAAGCCACCCTCAACGACACCTCCTCCAATGAGGCCACACCCCTAATCCTTCCCAAACAGTTCCACTAACTGGGGGACCAAGCATTGAATCATGTGAGCCTATAGGAGCTGTTCTCATTCAAACCCCCACACTTTCCCCTCCGTCCCTCCGTCCCTCCATCCCTCCCTTTCTTTTCTTTTTTTTTTTGAGGAGGCTCTGCTGTATCCCATACTTAATTTCAGCTCACCATGTAGTCAGAGAAGACTCTGCTTTTGGCCCTCCTGCTTCCAGCTGCCAGTGCTGGACTGCAGTCATGGGTCACCACTGCCTCTGTGCCTGGTTTATGAGATGCTGGGGATCAAACACTCTTCCAGCTCACATGCTTTCACCAGCAACATGTTTAAGCTTCTTCTTGTCTCCCCTTCTCCTCTTTCTCTTAAATGTAGGTCTCACTACATTACCCAGGATAGCTTGAAACTCATTGGCTCAAGCAATCGTCCTGCCTTTACCCTCAAAGTAGCTGGGATGGGACCATACCATGTGACACTGCGCCCTTTTTACCTTGCGCGTTTCTAACAGCAACAGCCAAGTCAGTCCTAGATTTCTTCTCTCATATGCCTCAAAATTCTCCAACTTGGTCTGTCACCTGATTTAAAACCATTTCCACATTTTTGCTGTCTTGTTGAGACAGGGTCTCACTATGTAGTCCTTGCTGACCTGGAACTAGCTATGTAGACCAGGCTGGCCTCAAATTCAGACATCCGCCTTCCTCTGCTTCCCAAGTGCTGGGATTAAAGATTTGCACCACCATGCCCTGCTTTCATTTCCACATTTTCAGATATTTGTGACACAGCACTCCATACTTTGTAATAATATCAGCATTACTTTCCTTGATCATTTTAGGCCATGGCAGGCCAGAAGTCCAGCATCCAAGCGTTGGTGGGCGCTTCCTCTGGAGGCACTTGGGAAAATCCCGCCCTCCCTCCAGCTGCCCTGCTCCCTGTGTGGCTTGTATTACACCCCTCCAGTCCCTGCCTCTGTGTTTTCCTCTCCTGAGGACACTTGTCCTTAGACGTAAGGCCACCTAAATAATCCAGAATGACTTCAGTTTGGGATTTTAATTAGAGCTGTGTCCAAGTAAATTCACATTTATACATTTCAGGGACATCCTGTTTCAAATTGTCTTCTAGTATTTGATGGATGTAAAATGTCAGGCATGTTTTATGCCTGCTCCATGCTTATTACAGAACTTACTGGTGACTTTATGATGTAGTGTTAAAGAAGTATTTTAGACCTTTGTAACAAGTTTTTTAAGCAACCAGGTTTTTTGCTTGTTTGTTTTTACATTTTTGTTTTGTGTGTATAAGTTCCTTGCCTAAATGTATGTGTGTATGTACGACACTTGCATGCCTGGTGCCCTTGGAGACCAGAAAAAGATGGAGCTCTTCTTGCACTGGGGTTACAGATGGTTGAGAGCTACCATGTGAACTCTGGGAATAGAACATGGCTTCTCTGGAAGATCAGTGAATGTGTTTAGCCACTGAGCCATCTCTGGAACCCAGCCAACTAGGGCTTTATTTAAAGAAGGTACCCAGTGGACCTTAGCAGATCTGCCCGCCTCTGCCTCCCGAGTGCAGGCGAGACTGGGCATTTCAGTAAAGAAAAGAGGCTTATTTAGCTGGAGGTGTTGGAGTCTGAATGTCTACAGTCAACGGCTCCATCTGGTTGGCCTCTTGTGAGGAGTGAGGGCCTTTGGGTCCCAGTAGAGTAAATGGCATCGTGTAGGAGAGTGGGCTAATGGCTGTGGAAGAAAGATCCTGGGAAGGGCCAGACTCTTTGAGAACAGTCTGCTCTGGCAAGCGCTAATATTGTCCCTTGAGAGACAGTGCCCTGTGAGACAACATTAATCCTTCTTAAACAGCTAATTATTTCTCTTAGGGTTTGCCGCTTCAATCCCTTTACCTTGAAGAGCTAAGCCTCAGCATGAGTTTTGGAGGGGACAAACCACGTTCAGACCATAGCAGTACACATCCGATTAGACCATTTCCTTCTCCTAGGACACTGAGGCTGTGGTTAGGTTTTAAATTATAAACTGCTGTGGGTGGCATGGCTCAGATGGTGAAGGCTCTTCTCCCCAGGACCCACGTGGTGGGAGAGCTCACCTCTGTCTCCACTGTGCTACCACACACATACAACGAACAAATACATAAATAATTTGAATTTCCGATTTCCAAAATTAGGCTTTATTTACACCAAATTGCAATTATCATGTTGGTAAAAAAAATCCAAAAATCTGGACTTCTGAGACGTGTTGATGAGGAGCTGGCAAACGGAGGAGCAGAAGTGTCTGTCAGAAATAATATGTTTACGAGCAGGGAAGAAAGGCCAGGCTCCTGTGTGCCCGCTTAGGGAGCGAGAGAGACGTGCTCTCCCTGTGGATGTGAGAGACCACCAAGGTCTGGGGTCGAAGCCTGTGCATCAGATGTCGCCCTCTTACATTAGAAGGCAGGAAAAATCAAGATCATATTAGGATTTACTTGATTATTTTCCATAAGGAAACTGGAGGAGTGAGCAGGAAGCAATTGTATTTTCGATGTTTGAGGTCATGAAGGGGCTGATGGGAGGAAGACTGCTAATTCCCTACTTCTCATATTTATGTGATCCCTTCCCCCTTCCTTTCTTTACCCGTGAGACAGCAACTCTAGCCCAGGCTAGCCTCAAACTTTCCATGTAGCCGGGAATGACCTTGAACTTCCGACTGATCAACATGTTTTTGTTTTATTTATTTTTTAAATTTATTTGCTTTTATTTTATATACATTGGTGTTTTGCCTGTAGAATGTCTGTATGAGGGCCTTGGACCCCCTGGAACAGTAGTTACAGACAGCTGTGAGCTGCCACGGGGGGTGCTGGGGATTGAACCCGGGTCCTCTGGAAGAGCAGTCTTAACCACTGAGCCATCTCTCCAGTCATGGTTCTGTTTTTTTTTAAACGCCCCCTCCCCCACCAGTCCCCAGTGCTGAGGATGGGATCTGCTGGGGTCTCTGTGCTGAGAATGGGATCTGCTGGGGTCTGTGCGTGCTGAGGATGGGATCTGCTGGGGTCTCTGTGCTGAGGATGGGATCTGCTGAGGTCTGTGTGTGCTGAGGGTGGGATCTGCTGGGGTCTGTGTGTGCTGAGCAGATACTCTGCCACCGAGCTGCGTCCCCGCCCTCAGCTTGCTCAGGCAGCTTACACTGAAACTGGAATGATACAGGGAAGATTAGTATGACCTTTGTGCAAACAGGACACTCAAGTTCAGGAAGTGTTCCATGTTAGAAAAAAAAAATTTAGCCGGGTGGTGGTGGTGGTGGCGGCGGTGGCAGTGGTGGCGCACGCCTTTAATCCCAGCACTGGGGAGGCAGAGGCAGGCGGATCTCTGTGAGTTCGAGACCAGCCTGGCCTACCTCGTTCCAGGACGGCCTCCAAAACAATACAGAGAAACCCTGTCTCAAAACACCAAAAAACAAAAAACAAAAGACAAAAACCAAAAAACAAACAAAAAATCCACATTATTAAAATAATTTTTAAGATGTTTGCTGGTGTTGTGATAGATTTTTCCTGGGAGTACCAAAGAGAATGGACATCTGTCTCTCTAGCATCTATGTCAGCAGTTTGAAAGAAATAATCCATCTTTACCATTACATGAATGAGCAGGTGAGGTCAATGTTAACGGAATCTCCTCCCTGTGCCAGCAAGTGGTTGACAGAACCAGTTAGTGATTGTGCCTAGGTCAACTTAATGAGCACAGTTATCTGGGAAGTTGGACAGCTGCATTTCTGAATGGGGCCTATTGACTCAGATTTAGCTGGGTGTGGGGCACACGCCTTTAATACCAGCCCTCTAGAGGCAGAGGCAGAGGCAGAGGCAGGTGGATCTCTGTGAGTTCATGGCCAACCAAAGATACACAGTGAGATATACTTACATATCTTGCTTTTTTTTCTTTTTTGAGACAGAATCTCATATAACCCAGGCAGCCTCAAACTTCTTTATGTAGCTGTGCATGACCTTAAATTCTGACCCGCCTGATTGCTGGGATTATATAGCCATGAGTCATTGCAAAGACTCTTGGGTCTTTTGGAAATGTATTTGAAGCCAGTGAACTCTACTTGTTTTGGCCAGTGATAGTCTGAGTTTGTTTGGGTTCTAAGAGGAGTGGTGGATGGTTCAGATGCTAGGGTAACAGTCACACTCAGACGCTAGGGTAACAGTCACACTCAGACGCTAGGGTAACAGTCACACTCAGACGCTAGGGTAATAGTCACACTCATCTCTCCATTTGTTCTCTAACACCCCTCCCCCTCTACCCCCCCATAGTCACTGGAGTGGGGAGCATCGGGGACTGTCTCTGTGATTCCAAAGAGACACCATCCTCATATTAACGACACATTTTTCCTAGTTTATTGGCCCCACACAACTACCCTTTTTTTAAGTCTCAAGATGTAGCCAGGCTGGACTCAAACTCAAAATCTTCTTGCCTCAGCCTTGGGTGCTGGAATTACAGATTTCAGTTACCATACCTAGATTACTGGACAATGTGTGGTTCTGGTGGTGCTGAGTGTAGTGTGCGTGCGTGTGTGTGTGTGCGTGCGTGCGTGTGTGTGTGTGTGTGTGTGTGTGTGTGTGTGTGTGTGTGTAGGCTAGAATTCAGTTCACAGTGTCTTCCTCTGTTGGTTGTAATCTGATTATTTTTGAGACAGTCTCTTACCTATCAGGAGCTTTCTGTTTAGACTCGTCTGGCTGGCCAGTGAGCCCTGGGAATCTTCCTTTTTCCACCCACCCAGTGTGTCCATAGTGTCTGGCCTGCCTGGGGGCTAGGAATCTGAACCAAGGTCCTCATTCTTGCACAGCTGACAGTTTACTCACTGACCCTTTAAAAATGATAGTTTTTAGTTAGTTAGTTTGTTTTTTCAAGACAGGGTTTCTCTGTGTACCCCTGGTGGTTGAACTCAGAGAGTCCCCTGCCTCTGCCTCCTGAATGCTGGAATTAAAGGCGTGTGCCACTGCTGCCTGGCAAAATAAAATAAATATTTAAAAAACTAAAAAACCCACAGATGATCTCTAAAGCACAGTCAGCCTGTTTGTGTCTTGGCTTGCTTTTGTTGTGGGTTTGATGAGCTGGAGCCAGAAGCCAGGGCCTCACATGCTGAGTTACCACCCACTCCTCTAAATAACTCATTTGACTAAAAAAATTACCACTTTTTTTTAGGCCAAGCAGTGGTGGTGCACGCCTTTAATTCCAGCACTAGAGAGGGGCAGAGGTAGACAGATCTCTGAGCTCAAGGCCAGCCTGGTCTACAGAGCAAGTTCCAGGATAGCCAGGGCTACATAGAGAAACCCTTTCTCAAAAAACCAAACCAAAATTGTTCTATTTTGTGGATATGATGGTCTGCCTGCATATATGTCTGTATACCACTTGTGTGCCTGGTGCCCGAAGAGGCCAGAAAATGGCATCAGGTCTTCTGGAAATGGGGTTTACAGGTCATTAGAAGCTGGTACTGGGAATTGAACTTGGGTCGTCTGGAAGAGCAACCAATGCTCTTAATTGATGAGCTTATCTTTCTAGCCCCATTCTTTTATTTATTTTTTAAAGATTTATTTATTTATTACGAGCACAAAACCCTGCCCCCATGTATGTCTACACATCAGAAGAGGGCACCAGATCTCATTACAGATGGTTGGGAGCGACCATGTGGTTGCTGGAAATGGAACTCAGGACCTCTGGAAGAGCAGTCAGTGCTCTTAACCTCTGAGCCATCTCTCCAGCCCCCATTCTTTTATTTTTTTTAAATTTATTTTATGTGTATGTATGTGCGTGATGTACATACAATGCCTGTGGAAGCCAGAAAAGGCAATGGATCTCTTGGAACTGGAGTTACAGATGGCTGCGAGCTGCCCTGTGGGTGCTGGGAACAAAATCCAGGTTCTCTGCAAGAGCAGTCAGTGCTCTTAACCACTGAGCCAAGCCATCACCCGGGTAATTCTCCTCAAATCAGTAGTAAAGTAAGCAGTAGTGCCGGAGTTCCTCAGAAATACGTCTTGCTTGGACTCTGAAACTTCACATCTTCATTAGGTCCATGTTTGCTGTGGTGACAGCCTAAGGGGGTGAACAAGGGAGGGTCAGGTGCCAAGAAACAGATGGGGAGGCCTTTGTGCAGAGGCCTGAGATGGGGTTTTACTGAGTCTGCTCTCCTGGGATGGGAGCTCTCTACGGACGTGATCTGTGGCTGCCATAGTTACCCTGCACAGTACCAACTGCGGCTCCCCACTAACATACTCCACAACCAGTGAGCCCCAACAGGAAGGCTGCCATTGAGGACAGACAGGATTGAAGGTGGGCACCTTGAGGGGAGCACCAGCCTGAGGTTGAAACCAGCTTGTTTCAGGAACAAAGGGGAGGCCCAGGGCCTCAAGGGGAGAAGCATCTGATGCGTAGGATGGGTGGAGGCAGGGTTGGATCACGGCTTCCCCCTTGGTTTGGACCCGTGGCAAAGCTTGCTGGGGTTACAGGGCACCTGTGAGGAAGGGCTGCTCTGTGTACAGAGGCAAGGACCCGGTTTGATCCGGCTCCTGGAGTCCTCAGGGTGTTCGTTCCTTTCTTGGTTATTGTCAGAACGCTTCAAGAGGACTTGGCTTAGTCTGGGATGTGTGTCCACAGGCCAGGTGACATGATGGGACCCTTAGTCACCATGGCAGCGGTGTATGGTCAGACTGCCTGTCCTCTGAAGATAACCAGAACAAGCGGGAGGCTGTGGGTTTCCTGCCGTGCCCCATGCGGGTAAGCACAGCACTGAGTGTCTGTTGCTTCACAGACCCTGTTGCTTTGTCAGTGAAGCTCGTCTGTAATCCACAGTTGATTGCCAGGGACCTAGAGCCACAAAATGTGGGCAGTGAGGCCGGAGGGGCTGGGGAAGCCGTGGCGAGGGAGCAGACTGCTTCTCCCCAACAAAGGTGGAGAGACAGGGGCATGGATTGTGTAAGGACACCTCTGGTGCCCCCAGGCCCTTTTCCGTTCCCAGCTGTGAGGGCTGCCAGCTCTTGCGGCTGGAGGGTGGCTTAGCAGTTAGGAGCATTGTTCTTGCAGAAGGCCCCGGTTCAAAACAAGGTGGACAGCTTCTGAAGAACAACAGCTGAGTTCACTTCTAGTCTGCATACACTCCACACACGGGCACCCACAGACACAGACACGGACTCACATAAGACGTGTTTACTTGTAGGCTGAATCTCAGCTTGTCCAGGTATAACTTAGTAAAAAGTAGAAATTTAAGCTGGAGTATTTAGAAAATTGTGGGGTTTTTTTCTCTTAAGACAGGGCTTCTCAGCCGGGCGTTGGTGGCGCACGCCTTTAATCCCAGCACTCGGGAGGCAGAGGCAGGTGGATCTCTGTGAGTTCGAGGCCAGCCTGGTCTACAGAACGAGTTCCAGGACAGCCTCCAAAGCTACAGAGAAACCCTGTCTCGAAAAACCAAAAAAAAAAAAAAAAAAAAAAAAAAAAAGACAGGGCTTCTCTGTGTAGTCCTGGCTGTCCTGGAACTCCCATCGTAGATCAGGCTGGCCTCAAAGTCACAGCCTGTCTCTGCCTCCCAAGTGCTGGGATTAAAGGCGTGCGCCACCATGCATGTTGAAAGTCATGTTTTAATTCTTTACTATTCCCCCAAGTTTGGAAACTAGTAGACTGGTTGAATCCCAAAGATGGCAGGAAGGGGGGGCAGAGGGGTTTAAGAGCCCAAAGGGACTGATACCTGGGTTCTTGGTCTAGGTCTGTGGGTGTTACCAACATTGCTCCCATGCCGTTTCCGTGGCCTCCTGGCTCTGACCTGACCCATAGTGGTAGGCCTGTCTGCAGAAAGATGGGTACCCTGGACCTGAGAAGGCAGCAGGAGGGGGAGAGGACTGAGGAAGAGTGTAGACTTGAGTATGACAGGAGACTGAGGAAGGCTGAAAACATCGTGTGGCGGTCACCTCTGTCCCTCACTGTTTACCCAGCACAGAGGACCTGGGGTCCACATTGTGACTTCCTCTGGGACATAGAAGGAGGAAAACTGATCCTCTGCAGGCATGGACATCCTGTCTAGGATGCAGGCAGTTACCAACAACAGTGATCTGCTGGCCCCTGTGGCGGCTGGTCCAGAGAAGCTGCTGGCTGCTTCTTGGTGATGGTAGCGGTGCAGGAGCAGAGAGGACTGGACCCTGCCAGGGATTGCATGACGTGCTGGGGGGCCATGGAAGTGGTGACAAGTGGACATTCTGAAGGACAGAGTCAAAAATTGTGGGGCTGGC